TGTGTGTGTGTGTGCACGCGCTGGGGGAGGGTGTGATGAGGTAACCAGATGTAAGGAGTTAAATTTTATGATTCCACTCAGTGTGTGAACAGAGCTCTTAAGCCTCTTAAATCTTAGTTTAAGATTTTTGCTTCCTTGAGAAATGTGTACTGTCTTTGAATTGATGAAACGTGACTGGGCAACCCAAACATTCCTGCTACATATAATGCAGGAAGTTTGGTTTATCAAAAACTTAAAACTGGATCTTAAGTTAAGAATGATTGTTAAATTTCTCAAAAATCACACTTCCTTAATCTGGACCAGTGAGTCCTGAATATTTCAGTGTAAAACTGCTGCTGCAGGTAGCATGCTTAGTTATGGCACCTGAATGAGCAGCCAGAAATAATAAAAGTGGCTTGTAACTGGTTGCAGATGGGTATTTGATCCTCCTCTCTCTCTGGTCTGCCTGACAGGGGCAGCTGAAGAGCTGGAGGGGTAACACTTTAGAGCTGAACACATTGTGTATTTCTGCTGCTGTGAGAGGGAAACATTACAGTCAAATGTCAACTCAATTTACATAGCTTGTGCTAATGTTTAGTGCTAAAGTAATTGAACAACCGATCTAGAAAAAAGTAATTACGGTATTAAAGTAAAGAATTTTGAAAAAGACTTACATGTGTAAAGGACTAGTTTGACATATTTTTTGCTGTGAGTTTGAGAAGATCTATAACTATCTGTTCATTAAGCCAAGAGGCCCTTAGCCTAGCTTTGCACAAAGACTGGAAGCAGGGGGAAACTGCTAGCCTAGCGATGTCCACAGTAATAATAAAAAAAAATCAGCACATGTAAAGCTCACTGATTCATTTTCTTTCATTGTTTAATGTGTAGTCAAAAAGTTACGTGCTGTAACTTTTGCTTAGTGAACAACATCTTTATGCAAAGCTAAGGTAAAAAAGAGTTTTTTCCCAAAAGGTCAAGCTAGTCCTTTAAGTCAATGGGTTCCCAACCTCGGGATCAGGACCACACTAGGGGCTACACAGGGGGTCATGAGGCTTCTTCTTGATTTTAAGGCGTTTAAGAAAACTTCTTTTTTTAAGAACTAAACTGTGAAGTCTTCACTCTGCTAAATGTTCACACATTCACTCTTTGGGTCCATTGTACAGTTTATCAGATGTTCTGTACTGTTATTGTTATTCATTGAATATAATAAGAAATATCCATAAAATATGTCATTTAACTCAGTGACAGAAAAGAGCAGGGGCAGACTGTCTTTTCCCTTGGAGGGCAAAAACTGAAGCATGGTGGGCCGCAGGCCAAAAGCAAACACCTGTATTGTATTGTTAAGATTCAAATTTCATCCCAAGTTCCTTTAATTGACTGACTTTCTGTGTCAGTGTCTCTCTGCCCTCTATGCTCAGATTATGATAAAATAAATCAGGAATCCTACATATTAAAATACATACATATTTTTTAAAGTAAAACAACATTTTCATATAATGATTTTTATTCTGGCGGGCCAAATCAAATTGTATGGTTGTCAAACTTAGGCCTGCGGGCCCCACTTTGGGCAGCCCTGGAAAAGAAGGTCCCTTAAGGTACAGTTGGGAACCACTGCTTTAAGTCATTTATTTAGTAAAAATGCAAAACATTTAATTTCTCTGCTTCCAGTTTCTAAAGCATCAGAGCACTTATTTACTCTGTTTGTGGTTAATGGAAATGGAATGCCTTTGGCTTGGCTGGCACTGTTGCTGGGACAAATTAGGCAATATGAAGACATCACCTTGGGCTTTCTGACCCTGTGATAAGCATTTTTTCATCTTGATTTAACGTTTTCTAGTAGTGTTGGGTTTTTTTTTAGCGAGCCTGATCATGTCAAACATTTTTATCTTGAACTATGTTTGTATAGCCATGCTTGTGTCTTCATGTCGTTTTTGTATTGTATTTACCAAATACATTATAGATCATCCTATTTTTCTGTCTTGTATTTATTTATATAATAAAATAGAATTTCTAGATTAATCAATTGAAAAAAGGGAGAGATTAATCGCTAATAAAGACTGATGATAAAGTATATGCTATTGAAACTTGGAAAACAAACAGCGAGGCTGCTTGTGAAACTTCCACATTACATCTTGAGAGAACTCTTCCAATATGATTGGATTTCAGCTACTTTATGTACAAGCTCTGACTTGCTGACTCCTCCCTGTGTTTCAGTTAACCGGGTCCTCCTGGTACTGCTGGTGTTGATGGTGTGTCTCCTCCTGCACAGTGCACTGCTCAGAGCCTCCACTCGACCCAAAGTCTCAGGTACTCCCACACAGTTTTTATTCAAAAACTTTATAGAACTCTATAAAACATTAAAGGATACGCCTGATAATGTTTTTATTTTGCTTATTGTCAACAAATCCCATGAAAATACCAGTCCAACAATGAATGTACCCTCTAACAAGTACTGTCTGTGTATCCTTCTTCCTCTGTGCCACTGAGTCACACTGTTGCACTGGCTGACATGTTCCTTCATTACCATGAACACACACACTCTAGTTTATTTTCATTCAATCCTACATACACCATCCTGCTGCCACAAGTACTCTCTAGTGCACCAAATGTGGAGTAATCCGCTGCTGAAAATAGTCCCCAACAAATGCATGATTTCCTGTTTTTAAACATGTACATCTCAGCTAGCTACCAATGGCTTTAGAGCTGAGAGCCACTGACAGGGTAGAGAAATAAGGAACTATTGAGAGACGGACTGGTCTAGCTATGGATTTTATTGGTAATGAGAAAAATACATAGTATTAGTCTTTCTTTTTAAAATCTTGTAGTTAGCAAATACAGTATGTGTCAATAGCATTTTGTAACTTGAATCTAATTTTGAAACTTGTGACGGCTAAGTACAAAGTACCAGACCATATTTTGTAGGCAGGTGTGGTCAATCTATTCATCACAGATTCTTATCTGTAAAAACTATTCTAAAATGACACAAAACACTCTCAACCCTCACTCCCCCGATTCCTCTCAGATCGCTGGAAGAGCCTCGGAGGCGCAGCACTAGTTCCTGCTGTGAGAGAGTCAGAGGCGGACAATGTCGTCCCCGTCATCATCTGTGCATCAGAGGAGCGTGTGGGTGCAACCATGGCGACCATCAACAGTGTCCATAGCAACACTGATGCCAGTGTGTTCTTCTATATTGTTACTCTTCGTGATGCTGTGAAACTGACGAGGTTTGTCTCCACTGTAAACTCGTTAGAGGTGTAATGAATGATGATTTCAAGCCGATAGGTGATTTGTGTTTTGATGCTGTAAATGTACTGAATCTGTAACAGGACACTTATGGAGGGGAGATGACCACCTGACAACCCAGTATTATTGCCCTTATTTATTTACCTAATCTTACTTTCTTTGCATCCACCCAGGCAGTACATAGAGAAGACTAAACTGAAAGGCATCAAGTATAAGATATTGGAATTTAACCCCATGGTTTTACGAGGAAAGGTGAAGCCAGATTCCTCTCGTCCTGATCTGTTACATCCAGTGAGTTACGCTTTTGTTTTGTCCACACAATGCCCAGATGAAAATCCAAAGTCTGCTTCCCCAGAGAGGTGAAATACCTTTGCTTTTTGTTTTGCAGCTCAACTTTGTGCGCTTCTACTTGCCTCTGCTTGACATCAGCCATAAGAGGGTAATATACTTGGACGATGATGTCATTGTTCAGGGTACGTATGAGATCATGGTTGGAAATATTTCATACTATGTATTATTCTTTCCTGTTTGTTGTTTGTCTGTAGCAGGAAATTTCAAAAACAAGTTTAAATGACATTTGGTGGGCTATGAATACATGATTTATTCAAGGATAAACATTATCATATAAGATCATACTTTAATCATCCCTGAGAGGAAATTCACAGGCTGAGAAGTAAGAGCACAGATAATTAACTCTTGAAATTAATAAAACATTGAATTCAATTAAAGATGGATTACATTAAAAAAAAAAAAATTATTATGCATTTGCATTTACCTTAGTTAATATATGTAGCAGTGTTATGCAGTGTCAACACAATATTTTACTTTACTTCATATCCAAATGTAATCAGTGGCGTTCCCAGACTTTTTTGAATGGGGTGGCACTGACTTATGTAGGGGTGGCATTTAGTATATATTTAAGCATTTATGCAACTCCAATATTTTTTAGGGATTCAAGTATGCAGAAATATGCCAATACACTAGGCGAAAATAACACCACATACAAAAAAAATCAAAACTGCATTGGATTAGCATAAAGTGGAACTGTCTGCAAAGGGGAAACTCATCGGTTATCTTGAGGTCAGAGGTCAAGGAATCCCTTTGAAAATGGCCATGCTAGTTTTTCCAACGTCAAAATTTAGACTAAGTTTGGAGCATTATTTATTTATTATTTAGTTTTTATGTTTTTAATTGATTTTGTGTTAATTATGTCTGTGCAGTAAAACTAAATCATACTAATAAACTAACTAACAGCTATAGTGTATGTATTAAAGACTTTTTATGCTTTTCAGGTGACATCAAGGATCTGTTTAATATCAAACTGAAGCCAGGTCATGCTGCTGCTTTTGCCACTGACTGCGACCTGCCCTCCACTCATGAGATGGTGCGCAGCATCGGCATGCAGGTGGATTTTTATATCTTTTATCGTGTCACTTTGTGTATTAACCTGCCAGTGTGAAGAGGCAAAGCAATGGACATTTGTCAGCAGATACTTGCCTGTAGCTAGTGTCAGTAAATAGAAGTGTGCAGTATATATATATACATATATTCTTTATGCATCATTCAACTTTGATGTGCATTCACATACAATACAACTGATAATTAATTAATTGATGTAAAGGATCTTCTCTTTGGGCCATTAGAGAAATGAATGTAATATTCCTGGAGAATCTCGACTCTCGATGGTAACCTTTTAATTGAAATATGGCATCCTGTCCTCTGAGCTCGTCCCATAGACAACCTATATGGGCTTCCTGGACTATAGGAAACAGGAAGTTAAAGATCTGGGCATCCATCCCAGAGACTGCTCTTTCAACCCTGGAGTGTTTGTGGCAGATGTCAGCGAATGGAAGAAACAGAAGATCACCAAACAGCTGGAGAAATGGATGGAGGAGAATTTCAGGTACACACACAGTGACCAGCAGTTTCTGGTACCCTCATTATGCATTTTGCCATATGTCCCGCTCAAAGATGTAATTTAAAAACTGGCTGGTTTTAAGAATTGCTTTCTGAGTACTTGGTCCAGTACAAAAGCAATACAGTAATTGAATTAGCGAGTAGGACTATGTACAAGGATACAAGGAATATTTATTTTGTTTTACAACACCTGGTTGTAAAAAAAAATTAAGTTGTAGTTCCCTTTATGCTTTATATACAGTAGATGGGTAAATAAAAGTCATAGAAATAACTCTTACAGCTGCTCTGAAGTCTGGTTACAAGGCAGCAGATACTTCTGTATTGCTTGCCAGACTGCAGCAGGGTTAAGAGGCTGTGGCTGGGGTGGGTATTGTCTTTTAATATCCTTTATCTTATATGAAAACAATGATGTATTGTCTTGCATACAAGACAAAAGTGTTTTATGAAAAAAAATGTCTTTGTCTCTCCTTTACCCATTCAATAATGCAAGGTTACAAGATTCCAAACATCTGTCACTAATTAAGATGTGATTAATATTTTTTATTAAAATTTTAAATGGTTTTACTTTGGCTTTAAGCCAAAACAGATCAACATATTCTCATAAATACAGGTACAATGGAGAAGTGGATTGTGCAGGAGTGGTTTGGGAAGTTTCTATGGTTTCTATGGATATTTTGATACAACCTTTTTTACCATGAAACCCATTGTAGTTTCTTCACTGGACTAGGTCTCTGTAGCTTTTTCTGTATCTTTTAATAGATTTCAAGGTCTGTCCAGTACAACCAAAATAAATCTTCTTTTGGAATAGTATGCTCCCACATTCCAACCTAGCCTTTAGTTAGCACCACTTGAAAATAATAATGAAAATGGAGATAGAATGAGCATAAAAACAGGGAGAACATTCCATAATTAATGCAAAATAAGATGAAGAATATTGTTCTGTCTCTCTTCTTGTTGTGTGTCGGCTGTTTGTCTTCACAGTTTTTGTCGCTTTATGTAGCTGTAACATGAATATAATTTTTTATATTCATATTGTATATTTTAATAGTTGTGGAGCAGTAGAACCATTGCCTGATTATTAGAAACCCTCTTCTTTCTCTCCACCAGGCAGAACATCTACAGCAGTGCCATGGCAGGAGGTGTGGCAACTCCACCCATGCTAATAGTGTTTCATGACAAATATACAACACTGGACCCACTGTGGCACGTCAGACACCTGGGTAAGATCCCCTCTCCTGGTCACATACAGAAGAAGTTCCTAAATGGTGCAGTTGTACCTGAGATGACCACAAGGCCACTGTTTTAAAAAACAAACTAGTGAGATCAATTCATCCTTTTGTAAAATGAAGGTGAGACAATGTTGTACATGTACATAATCTGAGAATTTGTTGTTATTTTCATTAAAGACTTCAAAGTGGGCCAGTTTGGTAAAAGTAAGAAAATGTATCATTAAAATTTTCGATAATGAAGGAATTAAGCACAACTCCCCAAAATCTGATCTGCAGTGTTGCATTGCAGTTGTGTACTGCATTGCCTGATGACTCACAAACCCAAACTTTTAGCCCGAAGCAGCCATTTATTACTTGAATAAAATGACAGTGATAATGGCAAGTTGAGGCAAGTGGAATCATTAACCTGAAACCTGAAATATTGTAGCACCAACTCAGGTAGTTTTTTGTGTGTGTCCAGGCTGGAGTCCGGATGCCCGCTACTCAGAGAGCTACCTACAGGAGGCACGCCTTCTGCACTGGAACGGCCCATTTAAACCATGGAATTACCCTGCTGTTCACTTGGATCTGTGGGAGAGGTGGTTCATCCCAGACCCCTCCGGAAGATTCCTCTTGGTACGACCTGAGAGCGACAGATGAGGTCTGTGGAACGTACCATGTCTGAGCCACAGGGGGACCTGAATGAAGAATATGAAGTTCAGGACTTACTTGAACAAAGGTGGAAATGTACAGTGAATTTAAAACTGAGGAATGTTCTTGAAAATAAAATGTTGTTGGTCGAGCCAACTATGTATGCTAAATACACAAACTGTGACTCAACTGTTGTCTACAAGTGAGAGATAACTGTAAAGATAGGAGAATATTACTTGCAGGAATATGTTTAAAGTGGAAGTGAAAAACAGACCAAGAACAGTGACGATATTTGTGTCTTTGTAAATTGTTTTAAGCAAGATTAAATGTGTTTCTTTGCTAAACTGCAATACATTTTCAGATAAGATAATTTCTTATCTTAACTGGTACTTTCATGCTTCAAATATGGCATTGAAATCTTAAGTCAAACAGAATACATAACTGTGTTGTTTTACTAGTAGGGATATATTACTAATAATACTATAATGACTGTAAAAACTATATGATAACTGTTACTAAATAAATCAAGTAATATTTCCAATTCCTGGACATTGTTGGGCCAGGAAATAAACTGAAGCCTACTGTTAGTAAGCCAGTACATTTACCTAAGAGTTAAAATGTTCAAGTTTAAAACGGCCACCTACTCTGCCATTATTGCCATGAGCTGATAGCCCCCTAACATGGCCACCAGAGAGCATGGTGGTCCTAAAAGTCCACTCTAAAGGCTGTGATGAGCTGATTGTAAAAGAAATGTCCTGTGTCAACAGCAGCTCCTCTGGTCTCAATATGTTAAATCTGAAGCTATGTTACTTCACAGTTGGAACTCATCTGTCTGTTTGCAGGCTTTCATCAATGTTGTTCAGCTCATATTAATATCTGTATGTTCCTAGTTGTATGAACACCAAAAGACAGTAGGGATTTGGAGATACCGTACTACCATACTAGTAGGGGGCAGAACCGGATACCCAGATATCACTTGATTAGCAACTCTGTACTGCCTAAATGTGAATTTCTTTATAAATACTAATTCACTAATCAGACTGATTATTGGTATACTGCTAGAACTTTCTCAAAATATTGACATAGCATCTCAAAATGCTGACTTTGGGATGATCATTTATTATTTAAAACTTTCTCATTACGTTGAGATACTAAATAATTACTGTGAGAGAGTTTCTCATTATAATTACTTACAGAATTATTTTTTCTTTCATGCTAAGTGACGTTTTTTCAGTTTATAACAAAAGTTAATGTTGTGGTAGTCACTATAATCACCTCAAAACCTGTATAAGGTAACAAAAGCTCACCTGCAGCGGCCTCCAGAGGCAGCTCCGCAGAGAGACTGTTTACTGGGCTCAGTCACATGAAACTGAAAGTAAGTCAGAGCGGCGCTGCAGCAGAGACAACTTTCTGCTTCAGACCAGCAACAACTGCAACTTTTGGCTTTGGTCGACAGTCCAGCAGAATCTGACAGCACAGCCGGTGAGTAATAACATTCACTGTGATCGACGGTGACCTGGAGGAAGTAAGGGGGGGGGGGGCAGACTTTGACTTTGACTTTGTATCGCGGCTGCGTTGTGAGCGGTCCTACCCACACTATCTTGCGAAAGGAGTTGTTCACTTTTCATTAGTTGGTCCCCGACGGGTACAGGACAGGGTACAGGACAGGACAGGACAGGGTACAGGACAGGGGTCGGGGTCTGCAGTAGGGGTCAGTCGGTGTTTGGGTTTGAGATCTGATTCGCGTCAATGGTAGGCCGTTTCCGCGTTTGTTTGTTTGTTTATTTATTTATTTATTTGTGAGTTGGACTAAGTTGAAAGTTGTTTTTGAAGAATGAGCGGGAAGAGATCCGAAAAACAAAAACTGTCAACCCTGCTTACTATACCCACTCCTACCCCGTCCTCTATCAATGTCCCGTACTGTGTTGTGCTGAGCAATAGGGCTGTAGACAATATCATGATAATGTATGCATTCTGAAAAACACTGTATTGATTTTGTGTTTAAACCCCCAACTGGCAGATAGCAGTGCTGTAAACCTAAACTGAGGGCTGTGATGTTGGATGTTACGGGGAATACGACCATTTTCTTAAAATTAAGTTAAAAGTTAAAAAATCGCAATGTAAGGCCTTGCTTATAGTTCGCAGTATATTGAATCATAACCCCTGTATCGTGATACCTATTGTAACGCCAGATTCTTGCCAATATAAGCACAACGCAACTGAGCACAATGAATAAAATCATCATATATAACATTATATTAAAATGTGTTTCAGGTATAGTCTACTGTAGGCAACATTACATAGCCTTTAAAATCAAAAAACAAAAATTGATGCTAGTAACCAGTGCTCGTGTTCCACTTATGCAATAGTTAATTAATTATACTAATTATTATTAAAGCAATCACAGGTTTCCATGCAATATGGGGGAAAAAAAGATTTTTCTGCAGATTAAAAGCGTGAAATAGTGCGTCCTTTTTAATAGGTATAAACCACTGATAATTTTACGAAACTACATTAAAGTGATCATCGTCCTGTGAAAAATTTATGTCTGTGTCAGAGCGCAGACGGGTTTTGTTCAGATAAAGGTGTGTTAAGGAAAGTTCTCGTAAGTGCTAAATTCATCGTATTAAGAAAGCAGCTGTTAAAAAGCCACTGATGAGTATTAAAAAAGTATTTTGCAGTTGCTCGGCTGCCTCTGGAGTCCCAAGACCCTCTCACAGCACAGGATCCTCCAGAGCTTGCTGATGTGCATAAAGCTGATTCTCGTTCACCCTTAACACAGCCCACAAGGAGACATGATTGCAGTGGCCCTCAGAAATACACGAAGACTAATTTGTATAACAGTCTTTTTTCACTGAATGTAATGCCGTGCTAACACTGGATGGATTCTGGATGCAACATGTGCCCAAACAAACGCTGCAACCGTCAGCAAGAGCGGTGTTGGAGGCGCGAGATGTTTGGGCTGGAATCAATACGGACAACTGAGTTGGTAGGCCCTTTTAAGGTGCCTGAAGGCTGTCACAAATGACCTCTGCAACAATACACGATTTTTCCTAACTGCCCCATTGCCTGCCATCGGTATCCTCAAAAGAAGAACAGTGCCTTCAGTGTTGATATATTCAAGATTGGCTGGTTTAAAATAGAATAAATATGTATTTAGTCACGATCATCAGAGCGCGATCCTTTACTGCAGGGTCATGTTGTTAGGTTTTATTCTTCCTTAGGACTGATAACTTGTCCAGGAGGCGAGGTGTTTTATCTGCTGTGCCGTAATATTTATACATACAAAGTGTCTTACCTTAACCTGTACTTTTATATTATATAAAAACACTGATGCCGCCACCTTGTTTTGTGTATGCCTTGGTTTGATCCAAACAAATGAGGAAGAACCTTGTCCAGCTCACCAAACAATATATTGCAATTATTCTTGACAGAGCCATGTATCTGGAAAAATCATCATAAGGGCTCGAATTGTCCTCATGGTAAGATGATAGATCGATATACTCGTAGACAGTGTTTTCCCCATTCTGTATTCACATTTTTGAAAAAAATCACCTCAGTGTTCACGATAGAAACATGGTGACGTCCTCCCAGAACATTTTAATGATCATCATCAGTTTTTATGTTATGAACCACAGCTTTTTATTTTTGTGTCTGAGAAATCAACACAAAATCAACCAAAACTGACCCAGAATCCAAAAGGTAAATTTATTTAAGCTGCAAGATAGCATTGGTTAAGTTTTCATCAACGCTCAAGATTACATGTACAACCCTTTTTTTTTTTAGGTGCTCTTGTTTGAATGCACCTTGTGAACTCGTAGTCAACCTTTCCCCTCCCTTTATGTACACCAGGCTGTTGTTTTTACATTTTGATCAACCAGTAGATATTTTTTTAAATGAACTCTGATTACAGAAATACTCACATATGGACCAAAAATGTCGTAGACACTGCTAGTTTTTTCTGTCAGTGGCATTCGTACATTGGTTGTGTTTCAGTACACTGTTCTTGTTCAATCAAGCTGTCCTGTTCCGGCTGTGGACAGGTGACCTGAAGTACCCTTTCAAGACAATGCACAATAATACTGAATTATTGCCCAGCTTACTTTAAACTTTAAAATTTCAGCAATGAGCTGATAACTAATTGTTTCAACATGAACTTTTTGCTGAGTTATACATATTGTCTTTATTTCTGTGTTTTTAAATTTCACGCTTTCACTTTCTGTTCAGTGATTATGGCAGCAGCCGAGCAGTCTTCTCTCTGAAAGATCAGTTTCTGTGCTCCATCCTGTCGGCATTTGTGTCACGATCCAGTCACCATACATGTCGGACACAACCTTCTGCAAGACTGCATCACAAAAAACACTGGAATATTATATGTCCAATGCCTGTGTCCGCATGTGTCAATAAACGTTTTCAACAGAAGACCAGAGCTGTATGTCCCAAAAACACTTTCATATCTGAGATGGGCTGCTTCAGTTCAAGACCAGTCCGGTGCTAAAGGGGGAAATCACCAGAAGCTCCAGAGCAGCAACGAGCCAACCAGGAATGTTGTCTGTGACGTCTGCATGAAACCAAACTGAAGCCCTGAAGTCCTGCCTGGTTGTGTCTGGCTCCTACTGTGAGAATCATCTGGACCTCATCAGAGAATCCCAGCTGAAGAGACATATGCTGATAGATCCTGTGAAGAACCTGGAAGGCAGGAATGTGTTAAGAAGCATGATAGCCATCTGGCAGTTGTTTCTTGCAAGAATGACCAGATATGTGGTGTGTCAGTCTGCACTTGAAGTCAGATCTACAAACGCCATCACACTGTTCCTTCTGATTAGAAGAATATTGAAGGAAACGAAGGCAGAGCTAACAAAGGCAGAGGATGAAGTTCACGCAGATGGTCACAGGAGACCGACGACTGAAGACTGAGAAGATTTAACGTCAGTGAAGCTCAAGCGAAGGAAGATGCAGAGAAAGTGACAGCAGCCAGTGTGCAGGTCTTCACCACCCTCCTGATCCAGTTCTGTTGAGAGAAGTCTTGCTCAGCTCATTGAAGACTATTGAATGAGAGAGAAAACCAACTGAGGAACAGGCCTGAAGGCTTCAAGTCAACAGGCTGGAAGAGGAAATCATTGAGCTAAGAATAGAGGAATGAGGGTGGGCGGACATTCACCCCCGTACTGACAGACCCCACTCCAGCTCACTCCAGAGCTTCCCATCCTTGAACCTGCTCCACACAACCAAGGACTGGACAGTAGTCAAAGTTCACATCATCATGTCAGGGATCTCCTGGGGACAGACCATTGGATCATCTGAAAAGAGACACTCGACTAAAGAGGTGCAAAAAGCTGTGTGCTGATGTATGAGCTTAAGACAAGTCCAGCAGTTTGCAGCTGAAGTGATCGGGATTCTGAAACAGCAAATCCAGATCTCATCTGTCGGACGATGGCGCA